GCTCATAACCTGATTTTCGTCCATCTTTTCCTCTTCTGGCAGGGAATAACGTTGGAAAGTTACCGTCAATGCTCTGGATTGCGTTAGAAAGAAAGCCCGTCATTAGCGGGATGCTGAAAGTGATTACAAAGCCCCTCCTAATGAGTCGCCGCCTTGGCCCTGATTACACTCCGTGTCCCTTGGCGAACAGTTGCATGGACGCCCTCGCCAGCGCCCCCCCCCCCTCCCCCCTCATGACTCGGGATGGCGATAAGTGCACTTGTGACACCTCATGTCGGCGAGGGAGAGCGGCCGGTCGGTTGGCAGGCGATGTGCGGCCTGACATGCAAACTGTGATGAAACCGGGAAGGACTATTTACCCTGCAGTCTCGCCGGCGCCCCACGTAGCCCGCCGGGAGATTGATCACTCACTTTGGCACCGTCTTTCTTTGCTCTGTTAAATACTCGAGTTAATTAAAAATGGAGTCAAATTGCCTGTCAGCATTCCTCGCCTCTCGCTCTTTGAAGAAGAGGAAACATTTCCTTTTTTTCTTTTGCCTTTCTTATTTTTTTTATTAGTATTTTTTTTTTCTTTTTCCTTTTTTGCCTTTCTTTCCAGACGCCTGATTCGAAGTTCAAACACGCGAAAGCCAAAGCTCGATAATGTGGGGAGGGAAATATATGGATGGCGGGAGATGTGATGCAAGGGACGGTCTCAGGAAGGCGGGAAGAATTTAGAGTCAGAAGTTTGGATGAAAGAAGAATATAAATAAGATCTGGATTACGTAGGAAGGTCTAATGTCGGCAGGAATTATGATATAAGAGCTCCTGCTGCTATGGCAAGAAGTTTTATATGTACATATATATATGTGTACTTATATATATGTATATATACTTATGCATCTGTATGTGTGTGTGTGTGGGGGGGGGGGGGGGTCGGTGTGTGTGGGGGTCGGTGTGTGTCGGTATGTGTAGATGTAGATGTAGATATTGTATGTGCGTGCCTAAATACGAGAATTGCCCTATCGAAGACGGGGCGCGAGGAAGGGAAGCGGCATCCCGGCGCAGGCTCCTCCTCGTTAATGGTCGCCTTGAGGACCGCCCTTACGCATGGCGAGGGGAAGTTTGCGCCTCGAATGGAATCACTTCGAGTCAATGCAGGAAATCGAAGGGGAAATGAGGACGGGAGTGTAGATTATGGCTTCATTAACATCGACGGGGAAATCTACGTTCGCGTGTGTCGTTCATTGGGGTGTGGGGAGGCGAGGCTGCTGCTGTTCGGATTCGAGACTGATGATTGCTGTGGGAATTGTGGATTTAGGGGGTGGGGGGTGGAGAGTGATTTTGGTTGGAGGGGAAAGCTAAGTTATTGTATCAATGGTAATGTTGGATCACTTATGTTCCCCCTGATTCTGTACTATATACTCCATACGCAATAACGAAATAGAAGGACCCACCCCAAGACGCTACTATTTTTCTTATTCTTTTCTTTTCTTTTTTTATTTGTTTAAGCACGAGAGTCTCGAACTATATTCCATGAGGCAGGAATAGCCACGTCCACTGGCACGAACAAACGAGCCAGCAATACTGCTAGGACTAAATTAAAGGTGATGCTCGAGGAACTAAGAGGGAAAACTGCAAGGGCCGCCAGGATGCTGCCGGGGCTCCTGGCGGCGGCGAAGGGGTAGAGAGGCCGGGGGGGGGGTAGGAGGTCTTGTCACCAAGGGAGGGCGAGGAGGAGGAGATAAGAAGTTGGGCGAGGCCGCGAGTGTGTTATGTATGCCCGGGGTATAGCGATACGGTTTGGTACACTTTAACGGGAGTGGAAGCCGATATAGTTCCTGTTAGTTTATAGGTGAGGGTGGTTAGGAATCGATTTTTTTATTTGTTTTTAAGATTATATTTATATCTATGTCACTTTAGAATCTAGAAGGCTAATAAATAAATACAACACAATCATTAAAACTATAGTTCAAATGATTACCTACTCCGGAAAAAAAGGTTACGTAATTGCTCACGTTTACTGATTGATTGGGTTCCTGGTTTGTCAGCAGGATTACGGGAAAAAGTTACTGATTGTGATGAAAATACATGGGATGACCGGCTCTGACCCAGGGACCAGTTGAATAGCTTTTCACGGCGACTCTGATCCGCGTCTCAATCGTGGACGAAATTAAATGATTCGTTGCTAAAGGGACCCGTTGTCGAGAATTTTTTTTTTTTTTTTTTTTGGGGGGGGGGTGGAGGAGGAGGGGGTGTTCTTAGGAAAATCATGTTCTTCAAGAAATTGTGGTAGACTTGGGTATTTTGAATTCCGATTTCTTTGTGCGTTTTCGTAATGATTTTGACCGTCTTTGTTCCGCGTTGCCTTCCAGTAAACTAAGGAATTAAAGTTTGCGTTAAATCATTAGACCATTTTAACCCCCGCGGCTCCGTCTCCGAAGAACTCGTTCAGTATCATACCATAACCGGCGTTAAACGAGAGGCCGGAAGATGAATTCAAATGCCCTTGAGAATGAGTGAGCGAGAGAGAGTTTTCTCTGAGCGGCTCCTTATATTACATTTGAACTTTATATCATGGCGCGCCAAAAGATGAAATTATATTAACCATCTCAGGGAAAATTGATTCATTATTTTTTTTCTTTACTTTACGTTTCCCACTT